GAATCTGGGAGTTTTTGAGCCCCTGGAAGCCTCATCTGGATCTATTTTTCCAAAAGTAACACAGGACTTTCTTTGGTATTTGACCAAATGTGGCTTTTCATCCTGAGTGCAAGCAGGCGGTCCGGTGCCCTCTGGAATCATCCTGGAAACATTATGTTAGAGCAGCTGCAGCAGTTGCTGGAAGTCAGAGTGGAAAAGTCTGGTTCCTCTTCCAGGAGAACTTAAAAGGGGGCAGATTCTGTTCCCGCCGTGTGCCTTCCTGAAATCCAGTTGTGTGGCACAGTGGGTATTCTTCAGTCTGTGCAAAAGGTGGCTTGTTTTGCTGCCCTCAGGGTTTGTCTTTAAAAGGCTGAGGAGTGGGGTGCCTGGGTGGCTCAGTAGGTTAAAGCCTCTGCCTTCGGCTCAGGTCATGATCCCAGGGTTCTGGGATCGAGCCCTGCATCAGGCTCTCTGCTCAGCAGGGAGCCTGCTTCCTCCTCTCTCTCTCTGCCTACTTGTGATCTCTGTCTGTCACATAAATAAATAAAATCCTTAAAAGGCTGAGGAGCGGGGAGAGGCTGGGAGGGAATGGGCTTCCTCTGTGGCTGAAGGACCTCTGAAGTACTGGTATATATGAGATGCTCCAGGACACTTTGAATGTGGGGATGATGTCTGAGTTTCCATGAAATGGGAATTGAATGCTTACTGTTGAAATTACCCTGGTATGAGATTATTTTTGGCAATTAAATAGCCAAACCCCTTTCAAAAGATAGCTCTACCATAGTCAAAATTTTGTTCTAATAGAACGAGAGTTACAGTGGCTTTGTGGGCCATAAATCTAAAAGTGAAGGTAAACCTAAAGCAAATCACAGCAGGCAGGGAGGCAGCTGGAACTAGGGCAAGTCTGGAGAAGTCAGGGTAGTTTCCTCAGGGCCGATCTGTACCTATCTGACCATTGTCCCATGAGCCATAATAAACAAACATTTTGTTTTCTTTCTTTCTTTCTTTCTTTCTTTTTTTTTTTTTTTGTAGTCTCCACACCCAGCATGGCACCCTACATGGGGCTTGAACTCACGACCCTGAACTCAAGACCTGAACTGATCAAGAGTCGGACATTTAACCTCCTGAGGCACCCAGGCACCCCAAGGGGGGCATTTTCTTAAGTGAAGTCAAGTGTTGTGTTCAGCTTGGCTCTCTGAACAAGTTCGTGAGTTTTCGTTTTACCTTATCAAGGTGGATGTTGCCATACCTACAATTACCATGTCTAGTTGAGTATGCTGTTAGAAGCCTACTTGTTTTTCCTAAAATAGAGATGTTCATCCATTAGGAAAATACTGACTTAAGAAGGCCTTCCTCTACCTGTTATTTTGCCAATCAACAATTCTGTGTTTTGGATCTTCGGTTAGGGAACACTTTGGGATACAATCATTATCACTGGGATCAAACAGCAACTCTTTGCTGAGTTTGTCCTAGAGATATAATGCTAGACCCTGGCTGTGAACAGAATAAATCTATGCCCATCAAAGAATTCCAAACTGGTGGTGAGCACAGGATACATAAGCAAAAAATCTATGGGCCAAAAATGAGGGGGCAACTAATTGTTCAGATTAAAATGCCGAAAGATTTCAAAAGATATAATGACCACTAAGAGTTGGCATATTGACGGAAGACTACTCAGAGGTTACTATTCAATTGTATCAGTGTGTGTGGTGTGTTTCTGTTTGGGCCTCAGGGGTGTGATAGTGATGGCGTGTGTGATTTCGGTACCCATGGGGGTATGAGTGTGTGTGCGTATGAGTGTGTGTATGAGTATAGGAGCATGTGGAAGTGTGCTATAAGGAAGGCACACAGGGTTGGAGCTGGCAAAGTTTCTCACATGTTCTGAGATTTATCAGCTCCTTTGTGGGTCACAGAAGATGTGTCCTTGGAGGATGCATGACAAGAAATCTCTAAAACTATATTCTAGCAGGGGCGCCTGGGTGGCTCAGTGGGTTAAGCCTCTACCTATCATTCAGGTCATGATATCAGGGTCCTGGGATCGAGCCCCGCATCAGGCTCTCTGCTCAGTGGGGAACCTGCTTTCCCCTCTCTCTCTGCCTGCTTGTGATCTCTCTCTGTCAAATAAATAAATAAAATCTTAAAACAAACAAACAAAAAACCCTATTTCTAGGAGAAAACATCAGTCCTGAGAGGGCTGAGAAATTTATCAATGGCCAAATAAGTTTAGGAAGTGCTGCAAACTAAATCACCCTTTTAAAGATGCAAGGGGCGCTTGGGTGGCTCAGTCGGTTTAGCATTTGCCTTCAGCTCAGGTCATGATCTTGAGGTCCTGGGATCCAGCCCCGTGTAGGGCTCCCTGCTCAGCAAGGAGTCTGCTTCTCCCTCTGCTCTTTGTCCTGCTCATGCTCTCTCTCTTTTCCAAATAAATAAATAATTTTTAATGATGATGCGAAATCAAAGGTACATAGAAATTTCGTGGCATACCAATTCACATCCTTGAGAAGAGATTTCCTCTCCCTCTTCACATACTTTGAACGCACTGGTTTAGGGAGATACATAAAGCACCTATTGTTCAGTCCGAAAGGAATAAATATTAACATTCAAGTAATGGAATATGATCAAAGGCTCCTGGGCAGATGGGAAACATGCACCAAGTGGTTTTTTAGAAAAATTAATCTAGTAAGGTAGAATATGGAATAAGAAGGGGGAGGCTAGCACCAAGAGACTGTTCTGAATTCTCACTCTAAATCCATTTTCATATGACTTATAAAGTGTTGGGAATTTTTGTTTGCTTCCTTTTTTAAAGCTTTTCTTTTTAGCCTTGGACCAATTTCCTTAAATAAAGGACGATTTCAAATCCCAATAAATGGAGATAAAAATAACAGTGATTTGGATAATGACGGAGGCAGAGCAGGGGCCCCTGAACAAGAGTGAGAAAAGGACCAATCTATAATACATGGGTTCTGGGAGAGAATCAAGGGCTAATCGGAAAGCGATGATTTCACAAGGGACATAGGAAATAATATCCAAGTTGCAAATGGCTAAGTGGTCCATCAACTAAAGAGAATTGGAATGATCTAAAAGTTGCTAAAACACGATCTCATGGAGCTAAAAATAGATCAAGGCCTCAAACTCCAGTGGGGCTAATGGAAGCAAAATGGCACCTGACTTTGTGGGTATCAGCCTCACTTTTAAATTTACTCAAAAGATAGAGGGGAAAAAGAGGAGTATCCAGGACTTGAAAACTATCTGCTTGGACCTGGCATTGTGAAAACTGATGAAGCTTGACTGGTGGGAGCCCTCCAAGCCAGTGGCTGTGACTTGGTGTCAATGTCTTCCCCCAGAATCTTCAGTATTTCCTTCCTACCCAACATAACGCAGTACTGAACAAGTTAGCATATTTTGGGTCATATTATTGTCTCTGAGCAGAAATTTCTGTCCTTCGGGGATTAAAATTATCCATGAGCCACTTTAGGTTTGATTTAGTTCTTACTACTCTTTCTTGACTTCTCATTTTCCTGTCCCTCCTCACTATCCTTCTCTTCTTTACCCCCCCCTTCCCCCTTTTTTAGTGTAACATGTTAAATTCACCGGCAATCTTTTGCACATTGCCCTAGATTCTCAGAAACAAATCAGACATCAGCAATCTGGCAAGGTAATAAACATAGAAAGTAAACATAGTATTGTTTTAGGCAGGTGTGTATTTGTTTGTTGTCAAGGAAAATCAAGACTGTCATGAGAGACCATTCTTGAGAGGGGAACCGTTTCTGTAGTAGAATCTAATTTGACTCCAGACAAGGTAAAATGAAGATGTGGGCTCTTGCCCAGGCAAAACTTTTCATTTCATGTCTCCTTTAAGCAGATTTTTAAGATTTCTAACTGGGTACCTGTGAGGCAGAAAGAATGGCCAAAATGGAGATTATGTAGATGGTGCGGTTTAGCCCTCTCCAGCCCAGTGTCCATTGTGTTTCCATAAACACAGGCTACAGTGGAATGTGGAGAAGAAAAAGGCATGCCTCAAATTCTTAAATGATGCAGCCAAATCCTTCCCCATTTAACTTGATTCAGGCCTGTATTTTCCATTTTATTCTCTCCAAGGCCTTCAGAAGAAATACTATATTAAGGAGAAATAAATCTTGTACCTTTGACATCAATCTAGGTATCCCTTCCCAATAGTAATGAACTTAAACTATTTCTTTACATTTGTACATATTTTATTTTTCAGTTAAGAGCCTTTATGTGAGAAGTTTGATTTCAGAAGGGTCTAATCTATTTTCCCTGATCAGCACACCCTAAAATGACAATTAAGCCCCATGTTACCTTAATATTGTAAAACACATTTATTAATGGCCTGAAGAAAGAAAGCATCAGGAAATGTCATTGTAGGTGGAATAATATTTCGGGAGCTTTAGGTTAGTGAAAACAAATGATTATAAAAACATTTTGCTCCCATCTCTAAGTGAAGCAGTCATTATCTAAAACAATCTGTCAACACTAAAAAAGTATATATATTTTCAGCTTACTAAAATTATTTGTTTTTATTAACAGTCACTTCTTTGGATATTTCCCCCCCCCTTTGGATATTTTTAAAATTAAATATACTGACACATGCATGTGTGTATGTTTTAATGTTTCCATTATTTATTTTGTAATTCACAACAAAATAATGATACTGCTAGGCTTTATATGCATTATGAGTCATCTAGGAGAAAAACCTGGCTTGATTAAAGAAAACCCTATTATAGGTCAAATCCTACCAAAGCAGAATGCTTTGTTTAACAAAAGACATTAAGCCACAGTGCATCAAATCATTACATGTGGTATCCAATACAACAAAATTCAAGAACACCAAAGAATATCTGAATAGCCTCTAGAGATCCCTCCATGGGATTCGACCTGCTTTTTGGGTCTCTAAATCACAGCAAACTATATCCATCAGAGAATATTTTATCTTCCTGTGAACCTTGCCTTTAACAACAAAATAACGAAATACAAATATTATCAAAAGCTAGATCACTTACCATAAATGCCGGTTGAGATGCAGGGAAATGCCTGTGAATAAACCACAAAAATAACAGTAAATTTTAAAACAACTCTGCTTAACCTGACATCTTCTAGTTCAACATCTATTTACTTGATAATGGGATGCCCTCTATTCACATGCTCAGGCCCCTAAAATGCCTCTCAGTTGGAGTAGGAGATACTGTGGAAAATGGGCATATTCGATTAACTGAAAACTTATCAGCAGCAATCATACCAGTTCAGGAGAGCTAACTGTCAAATTTCCAGGAATCTTGTGAACCAACTGTTAAACATAGTTATAATTAAGAAATTAAATCATATAAGCCTGCAATGTTACATCTAAAACAAATATTCAGAAATCATCTCATCACCTCCTAATTATTTTCCTCACATTTTACTATTGCCTCTGCCCTTGAAATGACTTATGTCTATTATACATTTGTATGATATAAGTAATGTATATCATATTTAATATAAATACTATATCCATTTATATAACACATATATTATATAACATAAATATATATTAATTATAAATGTGTATACAATATAAATACTATATAATGGTGTTGCTAATGAGCATCCTATCTCAGTTGGACATTAAGTGATGTCATGTTAGTGGCTTAAAATCTGAAAATATCAATCAACGTACCTGTTGGACTATACTTGTGGGTCAACTGCAACCACAGGTTGGCTATAGATAGAAAATTCTTATAATGTTTGCAAAAGTTTTTTGTAAGAATTGATCAGCTGTATAGAATTTATAATAAAGTATTTCATATTCTATTCTTGTTTGTAAGACTGTGTGCTACACAGTCTTTTTATCAGTAAAATTTAAACAAACTGCATATATATATATATATATATATATATATATATATATGCTCATTTTCTTAAAGTCAATTTTTTTACAGAGGCATTACTGCTTAAACCATATGCAATGGACTGAATGTTTGTGTCTTCCCAAATTGACATGGTGAACCCCAATGTGATGGTATTTGGAGGTGGGGTCTTTGGGAGTTAGGGGGAGGGTGGAGACCCCACGATAGGGTTCTAGTTCTCATAAGAAGAGGAAGAGAGCTAACACTCTGTGCTTTTCCCCTTCTGAAGACACAAGGAGAAGACAGGCATCTGCAAACCAGGAAAGGGGCCGTCACCAAATACGGGATCTGTGGGTATGATGATCTTAGACTTACTAGCCTCCAGATCTGTGAAAAAGAAATGTTGGTTGTTGAAGCCGCTCAGTCCAAGGCAGTGTGTTAGAGTGGCCCAAACTGCCCAAGACCCTGTATTTTACCCAGAAATGTGTAAAGAATCTGGCTGAAAGAGTCAAGGAACAAATGTGACTAGAGAGCTAGCTCTAATTTAGGCTCTCTAATGGGGGAACGTGATCTGAGCATAACAATGTCCTCTGCCAATGGACCTCTGTGTAAATTTAATTAAGTTGTTTTCATCTTTCCCGTATTTTTATTTTTCAGCTGAAAATGAAGGTGATAACGTTCATCATATAGAAATGTGCTGTAGAAATCAATGACGGAGTTTTTAAAAAATGTGACTGACTATGCAGCAGAACCCAAACACTGCAGCTGTGGTTAACTATAATACCAAATGTTATTGCTGAGCTCAATAATGATGGAATGTTTGTCTTTTTTCTTTATATCTTTGGGTTAAATGTGTACTACATTTTATTTTCTGTAACATTTTTATAAACTGCATGTTTATTCCCTTTACGTGGATGTCCTATTTAAAAAGTCACAATTCATGTGATTTTGTTGTAGAAGGAGTTAATAATGGATTCTGTTAAGCTCACCTACAGGTCTGCAAAGCAATAGATTCCTTTTTTCTGTTCTTTTACTAGTAAATACTAATAAATAGGACAATTTTTGAAATGGAATAGGAGCTACTTTTTAAATGAATTAATGAGTTCTTCTTTCTTTTCTTTTCTTTTCTTTTTTTGATTCCTTGGGTTCTGGAGGTGCCAATAAGATCGTGAGGAATGTTCTTGAATGATTCAATAAATCCAAGGATACAGAACAATGAAGAGATAGCATGTAGCAAATTCTCCTGGAAATGTTCTAGTCTTTTTAAAGGCATTCACCAAGACCACTGACAGGCCTTTCTCTCAACATAAAAACCAGCTGCAAGCTTACTGTAAGCAATTTGTTACTAATAGAAAGGGCCCCAGAGGTCAGGAATGGCCAGCTTAAAAATACAAATACAAATTAGAGAGGATTCGGGGTCATCCCTATCATTTTTGCCATGCTCACTCACATTCTGCTATGCCTTTTAAACAAAATAGAGGGAATTGAATGTTTGGGAATTCCATGCAAATGAACTGAGCACATAAACCTCACCTGTCTTGTGTTTGAGCAGAGAAAGAGAGAGGTTTCAGACCTGCCACACCATCAAGCAAAAGCCAGAAGATACCATGATGTTTTCGGCAAGCAAGCCCACTTTAAACCCCACCTGGATGTCTTTCCAGTTCACCTTGTTGGGAACTTAACTGAACTTCCCTGGGCATCAGTTTCCTCCTTAGTAAATGGAAACTAAAGGGTCTGTGGGAGGAACACAGGACACTGTATCTGACAGGCCGTAATATCTCCAAAAAGCTCCACTTCAAGGGGAATTGGTGTTCTGTTGATTGGTGAACTGTTGATACTTTGAACCAGATAATTCTTTGTTGTTAGGGGCTGTGTGCTGCATTGGGAGATGGTTGGTAGCATTCTTCGACTCTATCCACTTGATGACACTGTTCTTCCCCCAGTTGTGACAATAAAAAAATGTGCCTCAATCTTGTCAAAGTTCCCCTGGGGGGCCAAATCATCCCTGGAGGAGGAAAACTGCCCTAGAGTCTGGGGCCTAGACCTCAACCGTGCTGTCAGCAGGTAGTCTCCAACAGTCAACTTTTCCAGGATTGCCTCAGATGCAAAGGGCTACTCCACTCAGGGTCCTGCCCCTTTTCAAGACAGTCCACATCCAAAGACTAATTAATACAGAGTGGAAAGGCTTGGCTCATCTTAGCTTAATGCAGTGCAACACTGAAGGGCCCGACCAGCTCCAGAGCTCCTCTTTCCCTCTGCCCACTCCTGCTTTGCTCCCCTCTCTTCCCCAGGTGTGATCCCAAGGGCACACCTAAATAAGCACCATGCACCCTAATCTCTGTCTCAGAGTCTCCCTCCTGGGGAACTGATCTAACTACCTTCTGCTTCCCTCTTAGGGCCAGTTATAGGAGTCTTTTTCCCATTAGATCTCGCAGAAGAGAACATACTGAACAGTTAATGGCAACTTGCATTTGCCTTACCTCCCAGCAATATCTTGGAATCAATCATGTAACTTAGTAATTGAGTCTGAATGTACCAACTGCCTTGCCTGTTTTAACAAGGACAAATAGCTTCATCTGAAAATGACATCATTGCCTTGAATGTGAAGGCAAATGGTCGTGTAATGGAGGATGGCTTCAGTAATATTATTGCATTAATTCAAACAAAAAAAAAAGCAATGATAAAGCAGAGATGGAAATACAATATCATGGGAAAAGTTCACTTTATGTAAAATACCTCTGTATATAATTCGTCCAAACTAAATCTCCTCCATTAATCACTTTTTATTGAGAGAGAGGGAGATGGATGGAAGGAGGCAGGGACTGAGGAAGGGGTGAGAGAAAGAAAAAGCGAGAGAGAGAGAGGGGTTGAGAAATAAAGGGTGAACAAATAGAGGTGAGCTCACCTAAGGGATTTTACAGCTTATACTCTGTGTTCTTCACCATAATAAATTTTTGATAGTATCACCAGAAGTGAGTAGCATGGGATTTCTTTATTTCAAAGTTGTGTTTAACATAACCACCTCCCACAAAAATCCTCTCCCGTGGAAGAATGAAAGATTGTACCAAAACCCAGGCCAATTAGCCTGGTTTGTTTCAAGCGCACATAACTCAGCAGTCACCTGTGGAACTTAGGGAATGACATCACCAGCCTGATTTGTAAGGCTCCGTATTCTCCTTCCAGAAGCCCAAGGAGCAAAAAGTCTCCATGCTAATCAGGCCTCAGCATACAGCCATTGGAAAACTTGCTTCATAACACTTGACTTTTAGGCTTATTTTTTCAAGTCAACATGCACTTGCTCTCTTGGGGCAAAAGTAATCATTTGATTTGGAGGGTGAGAGGGGATTTTTCTTTTGTGAAATTATAGATTGAGCCACTAACTGGAAAATACTTCCTTAACCCAGCATGTTGGTTTCAAATATATTTGTAGAAACACTGAAATCCTCAGGGCTGTCGATTATGCCTCCCATCCTTTTGAATGTCTATTTCCACTCCTCCATTTGGGGGCAAGGAAAGAAATACCCCACCACCTTCTTTATCTTGATTCTAACAGTGCCTCAAAACCAAAATGGTAAGTCCTAAGCCAACATCATAACCATCCCTTGTATTTCTCTGGCCCTTGATTCTTGGTTCATGTTTTCCTATAAAGTGGGAATTTCTTTCTCGCTTCTTTATCCACTCTCTTTGCCATCTACCCATTGCTTCTACAACAGCCTTGCCAGCTGGATAGGATTGACTCCATCCTGAGCTGCACGGGAAGGTGTTGATTGACTTAAGTAAGTAGCACACATCCCCCTTAGCCACAAAGAGAGAGCTGGAAAGTTCTGACATCAGTGAGCTGTGGGTGTAAATTAACTATAAAGTGCTCCCAGTCTTGAGAATCTTTCAATTGCTGAGCCAACACTTTCCTTCTTATTGAGTCAGTTTTAGTTAGATTTTCCATTATTTGCAAGCAAAAGCATGCTACCTGATACACCTTCCATTTAACTGTTTTTAATTACATATCCCATTTCACTGCGGAAGTTATCGATTGCAAGAAACACCATTATTTTGTTGTACTTTGTGTACCACTACTAAAGGGGAAGCTCTCTGAGTTGAAATACAACACGTGTTTTCTTATCGTTTAGGATTTTTATTGCATACTTAATTGGTATTTTGGATTTTTTTAGATAATTTCTTAAATTACATCTTGCTCTAGGGAATAGATTA